TATTATCATTCAGTAAAGCTGTAACAAATTGCTGGTACAAAAGCTGGTTAATTATGAAAAGAACTTGGAGTTATGAATAGACAGGAAGTTCAATAATGGTGTGGAAGGAAGCTGACATTTTAGCTAAGTAAGAAGCTGATGATTTTAATATTTTTTTTAGTGTTTTTAATGCAACAACTAGCAGTAAAAGGAAAATTCAGAGCTTTTAACATAAATTCACTTGAAAGGCAAAACTTTCAAGAACATATCATTACCTTGATAAATGTTGCAGGGTCATAGACAAGTTAAAATATACATTTCATGCTTTAACAGAATACAAGTAAAGTGCACATTATAACAGCCACATTTATCCTATATTGAACAAAAAGAAATTTGGGATCATGATTATTTTTGGGGATATTTTTATGAAATAATGTACTCAGTCTTCACTCCAAAAATTATCCACTGAAATATTCATGATCCCTAATGTTTTTGTTCACTATATATTGATACATAAGGATTTTGTAGCTGTTTTTCAAACTATTATGTACTCATATTGAGATTTAAGTTTTCACCAAATCAAGTGAGACCCTGTGATCTTTCTAAAGCCTTCAAGTTGTGGTACTTGTCTTCACTTAATAGAAAATTCACTGTAAAAAAAGATACCCTAAAGAGAAATAAACCTCACATGCCAACGACATACAAAGCTTTAGAAGGTTTATTGTTCTCACCTAGAGAATCATAAACTAGTCTTGTCACTGCCAGCAATATCAAGCCATATATCACAGACAAGTGGTCGTGCATGTTCCGCTGCACAAACAAAACCTGGAGCGTAAATTTCTGTTGTTCATGATCAAAGCATACAAGCCTCAGGTTGCAGACTCTCCATATCATCATTGCCACACAGGGAGTGGACTGCAATTTCCGTCTATTTCACGTTAATTTAACTATGTATGCATCATGTGCACTATCATTGTATCATATCATCCAACATCTCTTTATAGCAATTTCCACTGTTGGTCTTGCCAGCTTGGTATGCTTATTATTCCAGTAGGGCAAGTTTTGAATGACGTAATTATGGAGGGGACTTTGAATAACAGCAAATGTGTGCATGTACAAAATAATAAACAAAATGTTGATGTACTGAGGTGATGATACCTATTTTAATGTCTGAAATTTACACATCTACATTGCAGATGATAGTGTTTAATGTGATTAAATTCTTACCATTAATCTGGTAAAAAGAATAATTTCACATCCATGCGTATATAGGTTATATATAATCTGTATACTACTGTTCTTCATTCACTGCCAATATGATTTATCAGCGTGATAAACTAGTATCCCACACTGCATGAACAAACTAACAGCACCTGATACTACTGTTTCATCCTGAACACCTACACAACACTGTCTTGTCGTTAAGTACAATGTGATCCACATATGTGCTGGTGAACCAACCAATGTTTGGAATAATCTTACATTTATGAACCTAATCCATTCCAGAATGTGTTTCCTCATTCACGTAGAATAACTGCAATAAGTGTAATGTAGCTGCAAAAAATAAAAATAATCTTTCTTTTGCATTTTACGAAACAACTGCCTGATTCAGAATGCAATATACATCAGTCACTAATGGCGATATATACCAGTTGGCATGCATTTCTGTGTGTCCTGAAGTTCCTGGTAGTTGATCAATAGAAGCAGCATAAACTGTGACAGCTGATACGTGTATCACTTGTGCCACCTGTATGGCCCAGTTTACCTTGATGCGATTACACCACAAAGCATGCTTGATCTTATTTCCTTATCTGTGATATCAAAGAGAGTTTTTTTTTATGCGGGACAGCTACATGAGCACACAGCTTCAACACTGCTTCTCTTCAACAACTCTACACTCATGGGGCTTTACACAGCACAACTGATGAAATATGCAGCTCTTGATTTGTTTATTGTCTGGCTTGATACTGCCCTGATGATGGCCTATTTTTATCACTGTATTACTAATTGACATTGCTGAAGAATAGGGCAATCATTGGGGAGATGTCTTTCTCGAATACATAACAGTAATCATAATCATATATATCAACACGCAGAAATTTCTTCCTTTCAAAATCATTAACATGAGCATGTAATAACAATTTCACACATGACTTTCTTTCAAAAGTAAAAACAGGCATTATTCTGAAAACTTAATATAATCAACATAAAAAATCACATTGAAATACTTAACACAAGTATGGTTAAAGCAAGTCAATGATATTGCTCTAAAGGATATCAATTAGGAGATTTTCATTTTTCTTTTATACATATTTCTTACAGAAAGTGTTGTTTAAATACAAAGTAAAGGTGACTTGAACAAAATCATTAAATCAATAAATGTTTGATATTGGCACCAAAGATAGGACTGGTCAGATATCCAAAAGCACAACAATTTGTTATGATAGTAAATGATAGTTAATGATAATATATGTGACATATCAAACACTATTTTCCAAAATAGAAGACAATTAACACAGATGCATATAATATTATTGCATATCATCCACATCAATAGCAATAGGAATTACATCAACATGCATTACCTGAAATATATCTCCACTCACTTTCAAACTATATTCTATGATCTCAAATGTAAATTTTCCATGAAATCAATAGCACAGAGCAAGTTTTTGTTTAGTATTTTTAAATATAGCCCCAGGTTCTCTGATTATATTGAGTTTCAAGTACCCTTATCCAGCTGCTGTGTCTGATTTCAAACGTGTGCTATCATTATGTGCCTGAACACCTGTGCTTCCCCCCCCCGTGTGTCCTGTTGTTCTGCCCATTGCAATATCCATACACAGCGGTTGTAGGTCAATACCCAGGAACACTGTCAATAACAGAAAGATGTGGTACAATAAAGCCTGTTTCTCACTGATATGCACTTTAATATGACCATGTTATTAATGATTGGACAAGAAGTCGATGTGGAAACGTGTCAAAACAACAATTCACAATAGCTATTTTAGCACGAGAGGACTCATATAAATGATGACCCCATCCATAGACTTTAGAATTATAACACTGAAGAAACTCAATTAACTTGATGTATCATGTAAGTGATTAACTTTCTGGTATCAACAGAATCCTTATCTGAACTATATTTGGGTATCTGTACAAGGTTTGCCTTGAACTATACAGGTAACTTTAAATGTATCTTTACATCCTTAAGTACTTTGAGTCAACAAAATTAACTGTAGGTCTCCAAAACCACAGATTTGTCCCCAATGCAACAGACATGGGATTCAGGTGGTCACAATGGTTTTCCTTAGATGAATGATTTAATCTAGACCAGTGACTGACCAGAAATCTCCAGTTTCCTGTGTATGTCCTCACACTCCAGAGGCAAGGGTCAATGCTCTCACTATTGCTTTTGTGTCTTCCAGTTATCCCTGTAAGGACCCTGGACCCAAACAAGTACCCAATGCCCCATGTTTGTCATAGGACCTGACAAACATGGGGATCTGTTGGTTACAATGGAAAACCATGATGAATTTGTGTCACCATATGAATACGACACTAGTGTCAATTATTGCTTCTGCTATCAACCACTGGTTTATCTGGTTCGGACCTTTTAGTTTTCAGGTAGACATGACATAACAACTTGAGTAAAAATATACATTCATTCACTCACTAATTCATGTGACAACATATTACAGGCTTCTGATGTTTTTATGGCATAAAAAAACTTCACTCACTTGCTAATCATACATACACAGAATATGTTTGATTGACATTCTAGAAGTTGTTGAGTAAATAACAAAACGTACAACTTTATGGACAACAACTTCTGGTTTATGACATATAACAATGTTTCAATGGAGATTCCTATGTAAGTTTTCTTTTACACAAAATATCAATAAATACCATATTACTACCCAAAAGATATTTTTCAACAAGAAATTTGTGTTTTTTACATTCAGCAAATAAAGAATAACGTGTCAATAACTGTACCTTCGCAGCAAACCAGAAATGTTCTACACAGCTATATACATGACATTCCTTCCACAAACGTCACCATCTGTCAAGATACTTGTGTTTCTACATAAACATTTGTTACTCATCAGCATGTCCCAAGGCAATGTGACAGGGCAACCAATATCAGCCTTTGGGCTAATCTGTTGCACTTGTTATGAGAACAATATAGATATCAAAACCATACCCTTTTCCCCACAGATCAGCCTTCAATTTGTGAAATATTAATTTTCATTCTATCCTTATTTCTGTGAACAACAATCAAACAGCATGAATAATTATGCAGAAATATTTACTATAACACGAATGAATGTTCTCATTTCTGCAGATCTACTACCTCAATTCATGATCTCCCTGGGGGCACGGGTGGCCCAGTCGTCGCGATTCGCTGTGCAGAGTTGCATCCCTGGGGCACTCCAGAAACCTATGATTGTGGGTTCGAATCCCGGTTCGCCCCAATTATGTTTCTAGGTTTGTCAGCACCATACCTGTGCTCGTGGGTTTCACCGAAGTGGTAAACGTCTGAGACCTGCATCACTTCGGGCTTTCCTCCCACATTAAGCTGACACGCCGCGATATAACTGGAATACTGTTAAAAGCGGCGTTAAACTCAACTCACTCACTCACATGATCTCCCTGGTTGATAATTTATTAATACCTAAACTTAAAATATTTTTTTCCTATTCATAAATATTAAAATTAGATAAAAAGCATAAAACACAATATAATAGGAATCATATCTGAGTTTAGAAATAGATAAATAGATAGAACATTCCTTTCCCACATTTATTAGTCATGAAGTATTAATAAACTATAAGATAACGAAAGTATAAATAACCGTGATTCGATTGTCTTCAGTCAACATGCTATGCCCCGGTAGCGTTGTGTCTGCCCTTTGGATAAACAAGTACATTCAACGAAAACACAGCACAACATTGTCCACAATAAATATCTTCATTCATGACACAAATAACAACAAACTCACACCTAAAACAAACACCTACCTCACATGTTTTCAAATATGAAAATCCCACATATTCTGTCTGAACTGGTTAAAATCCAGCAGCAATGTATATCCACAAGTGCGTATGACAGACACACAGATAGCGTTTTGGCACACTGCCTTCCCTTGCGTACTGTACGATAACCTGTGTCAAGAGAGCCAATCCAGCACCCACATTCATTCATGCACTGGGACCCTTTCAGGTGTTACACGAGGGAGAAAGAGAGGGAGAGAGCTCATCGCCAAACCGAGGTGAGCCAACCACTGGCGACATTCCAACTAGCAGGCGATCTCGCTTCACTACTGAGTCCCTTCAAAGCCTAGCCTTTCTTTCTCTGACAAGATATGGACAGGTCAATCGTTAAATGTTGGGGCATACACAGTCCCTCCTTACAGTTTGCATCCATGGGCCGTGACAGGGGAACAATGGCTAAATTTTGGGGGGTAAAGAGCCATGTCTGGCTATTCACTTATTGGTTGGAGGTACGACCTTGTCAATTTATTGTAAAAGCTTGTGTTGAGGAATGTCAATATTATAATGGAGATTGCTACTGTTACTGCTCTGTGCATTATGGTAATTGATTGTTCATTGCTGTTCTGTTAAAAATCTCACCGATGAAAACAAATTTATGACCGAGTTATACCATAGCTCCTTATAAGCTGCATGCTTGTGTAAAACATGCAAAACTTATCACCACTGTTAGTTGGACATGTACACTGTTCTTGTGAGTTTATGCAACACATGAACAGATACAAATTAGAAGTCTTCTGAAAAAGTGTTAAAGCTGAAATATCTAAAACACATGTCTAGACATTGGTGTAATTATATTCAACTGACAGGACCCAAAGGAAAGTAAAAATACATTCAATACTTTTAAACTCTAACTTTTAATCAACATGTTTGCTGGTAATCATAGATATGACAGATGTAGATAGATGGGTGTTGTTGAAACAGCCCTAGCCTAACTAGATTGAAGAGGTAACTCCAGTGGCCTACGTGTCACGACAAGGTCGCATCTGTAACCATTACATAACCACAGATTTCTTCATAAGGCCACACTTTTTTTACTTGCTTTACAAATCCATTGACTAAATTTTGTTGAAATGGAAAAAAATATAGATCCTATTTTTACCCCTCCAATAAGCTGATAACTTATTGCACACAAAAATATATATTCTAAACAAGGACCCACTATTAATGATTTTGTATAAATGTTTCATAAACAAATAAACAAGAAAAAACATAAAGCTCTTATTTCATACCAAACTACTTGTAGTTGATGAGAAAATCTGAATTGCTTTTTGAATTTTTTTATTTCATTTTATTTTCACCTTCTGACAATGTATTTCCTGTAAAAAATCGGTAAAGAAAGTAAAAAGTAGTGTGGCCTAAGTTGACTTCTACTTCTCTAAACATAGTGGAACATATAGAACATATTGATTAGTGTTTGTCATACACTGTGGACAAATGTAGGGAACTGCAGGGAAGTTATAGGCACTGTACCCCAAAGCAATATACCGAGTGTAAAGGTATCCTTTGAAAGAACGTAAATTTATTATTATAATCTGCCAATACCGACAATATTTATTTGAAATTATAGACCAGTCAGGTCCCTGTATCGATGATGTTACAAATTAACTGAAAGAATTATCCTTGCAAAACTTTTACAAACTCCGTAATACATTCTGTTACTTAAGTTGTGTGTAAAATGTAATCTAAAACTTTTACAAAGTGTCTGACTTGTAAACACAAATGAAAAGAAGTGCTTGGCCATGCATGTTACACAGTGTTTACTATTTCCTCTGAATTATCAGAAAATTGATCTGGTGAGGAAAAATGACCCTGCGTTCAGTTTTCAAAATAATCATTCATTGTAAATAGTTTTGATGAATATAATCTGATTAATTTTGATTGAATAATACTGTTTAACTTTGTATGCTTCACATGTGGTCTCACTTCCATGCAGTCAGTGGAACCTTATGCTAAACAAGGAAATGCTAAGTAAGGCATTTTCAAATGAGACAGGTCGTGAAGGTCGACCAGTGAAGATTGTAAAGGCTCAAAATATAGATCTACCCAATAATACACGGCAGCTTACTGATGAGAACAGCTTACCAGGTATTGCATGAGTTGTGTGAAATTTGAATCCCGACCAGACAGCATTAATCATGCATAAGTTCAGTAGTACAGAATACAGAGCGAAGGAAGTCTGGATTAGCCAAATTTTACTTCATGACATAATAACATTGTAATAATTTTGGTATTAACAGAAGTTAAGAGTCTGCTGTCGACACATTCCACCATTATATACACCTATCAAACTGCCACAAGTAGTGAGTATGGTTTTATGCCGCTTTTAGCAATATTCCAGCAATATCATGGTGGGGGACACCAGAAATGGGCTTCACACATTTCGAACCCTGGTTCTAGGCGTGACGAGCAAACGCTTTAACCACCCAGCTACCCTACCTGCCACAAGTAATGTCCATGAATATGTATTCTGGGTTTTTCCATGTGTTTTTCCCTATTGAACATTGGTAGAGCAGCATTTTAGCCAATAAATAATAGCTTAATTTAGAAACCTTTCAGTTACAATGAAAGTAGTACTAAAATAATTCTTTGTTTCATAAGAAATGAAGGTCATAGCACTCTGACAAGTACTTCAAGATGTAGTTTAGGTTTCAGCATTATATACCATAGGATTCTCATGGTGAAAGCCAATTTCAGGTAAATTTAGTAGCTTTAATCTATTACAAAAAATCACTTCAACATATATTTTTTTATATAAAAAGAAAAGGTTGCAGTCAAATGACAAATGATTCATGACTTTTTATTGATCAGTAAATCATTAAATACCATTGACTGCCTTTTTGATAACTAAACACCATTATTAAGCAGTGTTTAATAACATCACATTCATCTACTCCCAATGGACACTAACATTTTTCACAAATCACCTGAGATGCATGCACAATGCATGCAACTCAATAATACTGTATTATGGACATATTTTACTTGAATATGTCAAGTCCATGACTTTTTTCAGTTACCTATGACCTATTGAAGAACTCGCGAACAAATGCATTAGAAAAAGAGCAATCATACAGATTCTCACTTTTGTATGGTTGCAGTGCAAGCATGGTGGCATTATGTAGGTCCATAGCAAAACTTACAAACAAATCATTTATATTGAAAAATCATAACATTCATCACTATGTCTTCTTACGACCTTCAACTTTGTGTTGTAAATGAGAGTAACGCCCCTTGGACTAAGTGTGAGTTGTTAGAAATGTCGTCCTCACACAATCTCATGTCGTGAATCGTTCAGGCTCCGAAACTGAACAGAAGCTGCAGCTTAACAGTAATTAAAACTAAGTTTATAATAGAGAAACCATCTGATGACTTGTATGAAGTCACATAACCAACATGACATGACTCGATGAGTCTCACAGGCCTTTTTCCTCACCTACATGTGGAAACTGAGTTAGCAGCTATACTTTCCGTTGAATGCAGATGTTTCTAACTTGGTGATGTTTGTGTATATAAATGCATTTATGAACATGATTTTTAGAATTGGAATCTTCTCGTTTCTAATAATCTATCTTGGCGAGAACAGTCTGCGGTCTGATTCATAAGCAACGAATGTAATGTATTCATACTCCATCCTTAAACCAAAATGTTTTGTTTCAACTTTGAATTTTCGATAATGTGCAAAGTTCAAATGAGTAATAAATAAATTACAACCCTTTTCCCATTAGATACTGTTTCTATTACTTGCTTTTGCTCGTTTGATACATTTTTAAATACACTTTAAATAAAAACAGAGACTCGTTAAGTAATCTATATATGCATTATTGACAAAACAATTATTGATAGATAATAATAAACGAAAATTTTAACGATAGAAAATGAGGATGATATAAAAAAATATATTAGAAATTACACTATAACATTTATTTTATATACCCACATATCTTGAACATGACATAAAACCCCATTTCACCTCACTCTGTATACCTAGAAGACCTTATATATCAGGTAGCCTCCAATCTATTTCTGCATTTGTGAAGTGTTTGTTTGACTAATAGTCCTCATTGCCAAGCACAGTCTTTGATTGAAGTCTATGTCACTGTTTGTGTCCAGTGCTTGGGTAAAGTCCAGTACAAATACAAATCACTTAACCAAAGCTGACCCTGTCTTGGTGCTTTACTGACTGCTATTTCCACATAATGATACCCAGAGGAAAGGATCAGTCTGGGCTATTCCCATCTAACAACTCAAAATGAGAAATTAATCCCAGAATATTTATAACACACACTGTAGACAGTTACCAAACCAAAGCAGCATTACCACTTACTGTCTTTATATCTGGTGATTATTTTGTCTGATCTATTAGTTGTAGTTCACCTGGTAAGTGTAATAGCCTGATAATTTCTAATTGTACCTTGGTAGTCACTCAGCTATTTGTGGTTAATCATTTCATGAAAAATGCACATTAATTATTCTCATTATTACAACAGTGTCATTAAGATTAACACTGATGGGCGTTTGTCAATTGTGAAGTTTCTGATAATTGTCAGTGACAGATAATAGCTCACCTGATTCTCCCTGTATTTTAGATGTAAATGAGTGAGTGAGTTAAGTTTAACGCTGCTTTAAACAGTAGTCCAGTTATATCGCAGCATGTCAGCTTGATGTGGGAATAAAACCATGAATGATGCAGGTCTCAGACATTTAGCACTTTGGTGAAACCTATGAGTATGGGTATGGTGCTGACAAACCTACAAACACAATCAGGGCGGACCGGGATTCTACCCAAGATCACTGGTTTCTGGAGAGTCCAAGGGACGCAACTCTGCACAGCGAATTGCAACACCTTAGACGACTGGGCCACCCATGCCCCCCAGATGTAAGTGCATACAGTTCAAAACACAAGGGTAAACACATATTCCCAAGACAAGAGTGTCCATGATATCAAAGTCTAGTTTTCTCCCTTGCCATTTCAAGCCTACTTTTTTATGCTAAAATTTGAGAGAACTATGGCACAAATCAACAGTCCATTCTGAGAACATTATACAAAATCAACATCTAGTTCAGAAAATGAGGCCACTGCTATGACAACACCCATCACCTGTTGAATTCTCCTGCATTGAAATTATTCCCAAAATATATGAAGTGGTTCAAAGTTTTCAATCAACTTGCCTAAGTTATATTGCCTTTTATAGATGCTTAAATGCTTATCGCAATGACTGAGATGCAGTGCTATTTTTAGACAACCCCTGCTGAGCGTTGCATGTTTCCTTGATATGCAGTGTCTTTTTGTTGTTATTGTTGTAGTTGTTGTTCTGCGAGTTGGCC